GGTTCGGGTCGTGTCAGGCGGGCGGGACATTAAAGAATGATGCGCCATCGAGTTGGCACGCGAGTACCCTAACGGGCGGGACGGGTCGGGCGGGCGGACCCTAACGGGCGGGACGGGTCGGGTCGGGTCGGGCAGGACGGGTCGGGTGGGTGGCCGTCGGTGATAGATGAGGGAGGAGAGGGGAGGAGGAAGTAGGGAGGGATGAGGGATGTGGGGCGGGGGGACGTAGCAGCAACGAGGGATGGGGGAGGGCGGGAGGGCAGAGAGGGATGGATGAGGAGGAGGAGGAAGAAGAGGAGGAGGAGCAGCAGCAGCAGCAACAGCAGCAGCAGTGCAATGAGAGAGAGTAGCAGGAAGGAACCGCCTCTGTGGAACCCGTCCTGTGGAACCGGTCCTGTGGAACCAGTCCTGTGGAACCGGGCTTGTGGAACCGGTTCTGTGGTACCGGTCCTGCGGAACCGGTCCTGTGGAACCGGTTCTGTGGAACCGGTTCTGCGGAACCGGTCCTGTTGAACTGGTCTTTGTTGAACCGGTCCTTGTTGAACCGGTCGTCTGTTGAACCGGTCCCTCTTGAACCAGTCGTCTGTTGAACCAGTCCCTGTTGAACCGGTCGTCTGTTGAACCGGTCTTCTTCCCCACCAGCCGTTGATGTTCTGGAAGATTTGTTGTTCTTCCAATCCCTGGAATCTGTATGTAAAGCCTTGCACCGTTCACCGTTGCGACAATTGCCTTTCTTCCATGCAGCGCACACGTTGACCTGAGATCGTGTCTCATGTTCGTACCGTAGCTTGTTTTGATTCTTCTCCAATTGTTTAATCTCCAGTATGTCCAGGACACGCTGTCGAAGCCAACCGTAGGTACGATTCGGGTCGCTCATTTTCATGCGCTGGTACTCGTACATGTCTTGTTTCATCCATACATGTCTACGAATCTGTGTACGAAATAGCGATTCCAATATCTTTGGATCGGGTACTTCTCGGCATTCCAAGAATAAGGCGTCCCAATCGGTGATGAAACGTTGCAAATCGTCATCTCTCATCCTCAGTTCTTTAAGGCGCTCGAAATCGTGCAGGTCGTCGTCAACTTCTGTCACTTTGTAGGACTGCAGGATATGCCAGTAGATCTGGCGTCCTTTGAGCATGCGTCCTGCGTTGTGCTCTCTGGTCTCGATGAGCCTGATTTGGTAGCGTAAGTCTGAGGATAAGATGTCGCTCAGAGCGGTAGCGAGTTTGCAATCGATGCTCTCAAAGTCTCCACTGTCTTGTAAATCCTCGAATGTACATTCGGGCTGTTCTGCCACGCATAGGAAGGCGTATGCTTTGGATGGTCGCCCTGAGGCGGCCCCGAAGTTCTTCCGTATTCTTTGCTGCCACTCCAGCAGCTGCGTGATCTTAGGCAAGACAGGCACTCGGACGGTGTCTGGCTCTTTGGTAGGAGTCGTTGTATGGACCGACACCGCAGATAATGGTTGTGAGGGTATCGGTGCACCGTCGGTGGTTGGTTCTGTGCGCACAGGGGACACATGACGTGTCTGCGCAGAAGCTGCCGCGGAGGCTGCTCCTGGTGACGTACGTCGTTGTTGTCCTGCGAAAGCTTGTGGTGCTTCGGCGGACGCTGCCGCCGGCCTGTGCGGGTCGGCTGCAGGTCGAAGGTGGAGGTTGGTGTCGTTAGTGTGGTCGATCAGCTGATTCGTCCAGCTCGTCATGTCTTCTTGTATTTGACCCACCTTTTGGCGTGTATACTCATCAGTATCCCGAGAACGTTGTGAATACCGATCAAGTCGATGCTCGTATGCTCGGAGACGGGCGCTTTGCGCCTCCATCTCGCTTTCCAGACGTGCGAGGTAACTCTACACGTACCTCCTCAGTGTCTCTTTCATGAATAACCTGGGAGAGCTCCAACTGCGTGTGGTCCGCCGCCTTCTGAACCTCCTGCAACCTGTCAGCGAGGCGGGCGAAATCGTAAACCGTGGGAGGAGAATCCAGCTGATCAGTCTGGGCTCGTCCGACACGCAACTCTGCCAGGGCGTCCTGTACACCAGGAAAACGCTGCTCTATGTCAGAGATCCGGTTTGCGAGTGGCTGCACGACAGCGTTGGTCGCATCAAGCCTTTGAGTGATGACTCAGTACGCTGCAACATGTCGATCAGGTTCGACGAGTTGGTGCGTGCTTCGGTACGAAGCGACGCCGTAGTGTGGTCTAGATAAGATCGAAGATCATTGATCTGAGACTGAACGTCGCCAAGGTCAGTGGCCTCGGCTGGGGTTGGTCGGTTGCGGAGCTGGTCGCGGATCTCATCATGTAAAACCCTGACTGCGGAAACGCCTGTGTCGCGTACGAGCACAAGCTGTTGCTCCATCTGCGCGAGATAGTTGCGCAGGTTCTCGACCATCGCCGTTCGTTCACCTGAGTGTGACACCTCACGATCAACCTGGTGCTGCAGTTCTCCTATGATGCGTCGATCTTCGGCGATCCTGGAATCGATGATCCCTAAGGCGCCGTCAAGATCGCGGCGTATGGCTGCAGTATCGGTGGCGTTCGTCTGAACGCTCTGTAGTAGTCCAGAGTATTGGCTGGACACGAAGGTTTCAACCTGGTCTCTGAGCTCAGCTATGTCACCTGCGGCGGACGTCTCCGCCAGCTGGTCGTCTGAGATGGAGAGGTGGGGAGCGTCAGCTTCCCTGTGTCCCCTGTCGCGGGGAGTGCATGGCCTCTGAGAGGCAGTGCGCGGGCTCGACCTGCTTTCGCCGCATGGGCCTGGGGCTCCACGGCGGTTGCGCGCGGACGAGCTGCGACTCGGACCATGTGTGTGTGGTGTCTCATCCGATGATACCTTGGGGTACCGCGTCTGTGGCTGTGCCGACACTGGTCTACTGAGTTCCTCGAAGGTGGCTACGTGCTCCGCCACAGGGACGGTCGCAGGGCTGGGGGTCCCAGCGCCTGAGGTCCATCGGCGGTTAGCGCGAAAGCGCCCTGGAGTATCGAGACCAGTAAGGCTTTCGCCTGACGCGGTTGGGATTGCTCCCGACGGGGAAGGGGAGGGAGGATCGAAGGTCGGCGTGTGAAACTCCTTCCTTCCTGTTCCTACTCCTTCTCCTGTCCCCCCGCGGGCGGCGCTGCGGTGAAGTTCAGCAGCTAGTCGCGCCTCGGGTCCTTCGGAGCTGGGGGGGGGGGTATCAGGAACACCAGCACAGTCCGCACTAATGCTCTCCAACTCGTCACCGAGCCGTCGGGCCGTGGGAGAGCTCGGACGCGAAGCCCCGATGGAACCCTTGCGGCGCATGCGCCGAAGTGGCTCCATCAGGCTCGCATGCGAGGTCACCGCGGGCGAGTCGGTGAGGGTGAGCTTTAAAGGGCTGATAACCTGTGTATGGGGTTGAAGTACAAGGGTACAGAACCCCTGATCCGTTGGTAGAGAGAAGGAGGGATAGATGGATATCTTTCCCTCCCGCACGATCAAGGTCTGATCGATCTATCTCAGTACCTGAGCCCAAACGGCCAGGCGCAGGAGAGGTAAGGATAAGGAGTATATATAACGGTATTACACGGGTTCCATTCACACGTTCACGGCACAGTATAGGATGCACAGTATATATATATATATATATATATATATATATATATATATATATATATATATGTATACACATATTTGTACATACAGACAAAGTTCACAACACTTATTGCACTACCTATACTGCACCACATGTACTGCTAGAAACACACTGTTTGGAGCCCACGCTGGCAAGCGTTGAAAGTTTAGGGATATGGTTTTTCCGGAGTAGGACCTTCAAAGGCGGCCCAGGAGCCCCCGCAACAATAACTATCGTACCCCCAAAGCCCCCAACATGGCACAAAAGGCCTCCAGAAGGGGATTCTGAACACGTGTTTCCCCCCTCCCCCCTTTCCTCAGCCAGCGAGACCGCCAATGCCCTCAATATGCCCCCACGAGGCCCAGGAGAAGCAGGAGGAGGGGGGGGAGGACGGGGAACAGCACGAGGAGGAGGGGGAGGAGGAACAAAAGCAAGCCCTCCTCGTCGCTTCCTCTCCTCCTCCTCCTCCTCCTCCTCCTCCTCCTCCTCCTCGTTGTCCTCCTCCTGCGCCCCCCCTCCCTCGTAAAAATGAAGCGTCGGGAGAGGGGGCATGATGCCAGATCTGGGCGGATGACGCAACGCACGAAGAGAATTGCTTGACCCCTGGCTGCAATGCTTGTTTGTTGGCGGCGTGCAAGAAAGTGAGGCGCCGGGGAAGCGAACCTTTCCCGAACGGGGCTTGCGCTTAGGGTTTCTCACTGGTGTTGTACGGAACTGGCCCCATGTGTCGAAGTTGGCCATTGGTGCGCTTGGGTCGGCATGGCTTGCGTCGCTCGCCAAGACCTGTAGACGTCGCGAAACATATGGCAACGAGCGTGCTTTAAAGATCTCGGGCTCCGGGGCCTTGGCACCATCCACACAAATGGCCCGAGACTCACAAAAACAGTCCCGAGGACGGGGTCGGGAGCTCTGGGTCTGGAGGCTGGCCGTGAGGAAGACAGCTGCGACGACGACATTGCTGAGCTAGCAAAAACAAATGAGAAGGGCAACAGCGACGACGACATTGACCGCATGCACGGCGGCCGCCGCATCGGTGGTGGCAGCGGCTGTTTTTGTTCCAACCAGCATACATAGTAGGTCAGTCGGTGCACAACTCAATAGGCGGAGAAACCCTTGCCCTTGCCCTTGCCTTTGCCCTTGCCGCCGCTCATCGTGCCCCACATGTCGCCCTTGCCGCCGCCGGAATCGTCCTGTGGAGCGTTCCCGCTTCTCCTGCTGCTCCTGCCGCTCCGCTCCCGCTCCTTCCCCTGATGTTGCTTCTCCGATTCTCGGCTCATGCTCATGCTAATGCTCATCCTGTTGCTCCTCCTCCTCCGATCGCCTGGGCAATTCAAGCAGTTGCGTTTCTAGTGCCAGAGCTGAGGAGGAAGGAAGGCGGAAAGAAGAAAACGACTGTCGTTTTACATTGCGCGTGCTGCTGCAGAACTGACGCGTCAAGTCTGCGACACGCTCCGCGGGCCTTCTCGGCATGCCAAAATCTGATGATGCGCACGGAGGAGCTTACGCTACTGAGGTGGGTTCCGCAAAGGCAAATGCAAGGAGGTATTGCTGTAAGAGTTTCTCGTCGCCTGTTGCGGCGGGATGGTGGGCCGCGCCTCAAACTATTCGAGCCAATAACAATGCTACATGAGTGCGTGCGCACGGCAAAACAGGCGAACTCTAGCGGCCGAAGGGGGGAAATCGCGATCTGAGCCCAAGGCATTCTCTCGCGAGCAGGCCACAGCGTGTCTGAGGCGAGAGGACGAGACAACGAATGGATAAAACAAGCATCCGCAGGTCACGCACAGCCACTCACTTGAACAAGCAACGGCACAATTTCCTCGCGCATCAATGCGCTGCGCCAGGAGGTCGGACAGACAGCCCAGGCGGCGGCAAGGGCGACCGCAAGGGCACCCTTCACGGGGGAGCAACGCCGTGGAAACACCGGGTGCGCCGAAGCGGTGGGCAGGGAAGAGGCAGGTTAGCGCATCATGGCCCAGGGCACGCGCGCGGACTAGGGGGGCTGAGGAACACAATGGCACAGGAAGAAAAAGAAAGCACATACTAATAAGAATAAGAAAACTCATGATAAGAATGACGATGCTCATTTGTCCAGCACTGGGTGTGAAGCCTAGCATTGAGATGCACGCGAACGGACCTCGCAAGGCGTGATGCCAAGAAACAACGCTCAATGGGGCGTCCACGCCACCGGAGAGCTCACACCCAAGGAGGCGGGGAGGAAGAAGTAGCCGAAGAAAAACTTGAGCCATCACGAGTACGAACGGGCTCGACTCGGATCGGGGGCCCAACGGCGATTCATTCGCTCCATCCCCAGCGCCCCAATGGGACCCCCGCCCCGTGGCCCCTCCAACCCTCCCTGCATCCCCAGCGCCCCAGTTGGACCCCCGCACCGTCGCCCTCCGCCCCGAGCATTTTATTCCGCGTCGCGACGCACACCACCTCCCCCCCCCCCCCCGCGTCCACAGCGCCCCAGTGGGACCCCCGCCCCCTGGCCCTCTGCCCCGAGCCCCGCCCAGTGCCCCCTCCGCGCCGACCACTTCATTCCGCGTCGCGACGCACACCTCCTCCCCCCCCTCTTCCCAGATCCCAAGCGCTTCAGTAGGAGCCCAGCCCCGTGTCCCCTCCGCCACGACAGGTTCATTCCGTGTCGCGATGCACGTCGCCCTTTCCCTGCTGCATCCCCAGAGCCCCCGTCGGAGCCCCGCCCACAGCCCCCTCCGCCCCGAGCATGTTATTCGCGTCGCGACGCACACCACCTGCCCCCCCTCTTCCCCCCGCATCCCCCGCGCCCCAGAGGGATCCCCGCCCCGATCCCCCTCCGCCCCGACCACTTTGCTCCGCGTCGCGACGCACACCACCCCATCCGCCACGACCACTTTATTCCGCGTCGCGACGCGCACCACGCTCCTACGCCCCCCCCCCTCCCCTTTCCTTGTTTCCCCCTCCCCCCGCCCCCTGATCCTCCAGGGCTCCCAGTGGGGCCCCGCGCCGTTCCGCCCTAGCCCCGGCAATTTTATTCGCGTCGCGACGCGCACCACCTCTCCCCTACACCACTCCTTTCGCGGCTCCCCAGCGCTCAGTGGAACCCCCGGCCCCGTGGCTCCCTCTGCCAGGAGCCCGGACCGTGCCCCCTCGCTCGACCACTTATATTCCGCGTCGCGACGCACGCCATCTCCCACCCCTCCCAGCAAGCCCGCCCAGCGCTTCATAGGAGCCCCAGCCGCCGTTCCCTCCGCACGACAGCTTCATTCGTTTCGCGACGCTCGGAGCCCCGCCCGGGAGCCCCGCCCATAGCCCCCTCCGGCCTACGGACCATGTTATCCGCCGTCGCGAAACGCACAACACCTCCCCCCTCTTTTTCACCCCCCCCACACTACACACACACACACCGCAACGCACACGCACACGCACCGCACGCACACGCACACGCACACGCAGCACCGCACACGCACACGCACACGCACACGCACACGCACACGCACACGCACACGCACACGCACACGCACACGCACACGCACACCGCACACGCACACGCACACGCACACATGCACGCACACGCACACGCACACGCACACGCACACGCACACGCACACGCACACGCACACGCACACGCACACGCACACGCACACGCACACGCACACGCACACGCACACGCACACGCACACGCACACGCACACGCACACGCACACGCCACGCACACGCACACGCACACGCACACGCACCGCACCCCACCCCACCCCACCCACCACCCCACCCACCACCACCACCACCGCCCCAGCGGGACCCCCGCCCCGATCCCCCTCCGCCCCGACCATTTTATTCCGCGTCGCGACGCACACCACCCCCTCCGCCACGACAACTTTATTCCGCGTCGCGCCCCGACCAACTCATTCCGCGCCGCCGCGCACACCGCCCCCTCCGCCACGACCACTTTATTCCGCGTCGCGACGCACACCACCTGCCGCCTCCCTCTCTCTCTCTATATCTCTCTCTCTCTCTCTTGCTCTCTCTCTCTCTCTCTCTCTCCTCTCTCTCTCTGTCTCTGTCTCTGTCTCTGTCTCTGTCTCTGTCTCTGTCTCTGTCTCTGTCTCTCTCTCTCTCTCTCTCCTCTCTCTCTCTCTGTCTCTGTCTCTGTCTCTGTCTCTGTCTCTGTTTCTGTCTCTGTCTCTGTCTCTCTCTCTCTCTCTGTTTTTTTTTTTTTTGTTTCTCTCTCTTCTCTCTCTCTCCCTCTCTCTCTCTCTCTCTCTCTTTCTCTCTCCTCCCCCCCCCCCCTTCCCTTCCCCCCCCCCCCCCCCCCCCCCCGCATCCCCGCGCCCCAGGGGGGCCCCCGCCCCAGCCCCTCCGCTCCGACCATATTATTCGCGTCGCGACGCACGCCCACCTCCCTCCTCCCCAGTGGGACCCCCGCCCCGCCGCCCTCCGCTCCGACCACTTTGTTCCGTGTCGCGACGCACGCGCCCCACGGCCCCCTCCGCCCCAAGCAGTTTATTCCGCGTTGCGACGCGCACCACCTGCCCCCCTCTTCCCCCGCATCCCCAGCGCCCCAGTGGGGCCCCCGCCCCGTGGCCCCTCCAACCCTCCTACATCCCCAGCGCCCCAGTGGGGCCCCCGCCCCGTCGCCCTCCGCCCCGAGCATTTTTTCCGCGTCGCGACGCGCACCACCTCCCCCCCCCCCCCGTTCGCAGCGTTCCAGACTGGGATCCGCGATCAGCGCCGAACCATCGCGAGGCCTCCAAAGGCACACCGCACAAAATGTTTAAATGGACAGCAGTGTTTGTTCGGAACGGGACCAGGCCCTGAGGGGCGAGCGCGGACCTGCAATACCCTGTCTGGCGACGCCGGCAATGAGAGCCGCCAAGCTCGCGCGCGCTATAACCATCGACGGAGTCACCAGCCTCAAGCGCTGCGGACGCGCTGGCATACGTCGGTTCATCTCGCTTCTGCCCGCGCCCAACAAGGAACTCAACGTGCGCCCGTCCATGGGCTGCCGCGGACCGCAGCCCTCGACGCTCTCCAGAGGCGCGGTGGGTTCGGTCCCGATTGGCTGGTAAGCATTGACCAGTGGGACCCCCGCCCCGTGGCCCTCTGCCCCGAGCCCCGCCCAGCGCCCCCTCCGCGCCGACCACTTGATTCCGCGTCGCGACGCACGCCTTCTCCCCCCCCCTCTTCCCAGATCCCCAGCGCTTCAGTAGGAGCCCAGCCCCGTGCACCCTCCGCCACGACAACTTTATTCCGTGTCGCGATATTCCGCGTCGCGACGCCCCCCCCCCCCCCTCCGCCCCCGACGCCCCAGTTGGACCCCCGCCCCGTGGCCCTCTGCACCAAGCCCCGCTCCGTGCCCCCTCCCCCGACCATGCATTCCGCGTCGCGACGCGCGCCACCTCCCCCCCCTCCTCCCCGCGCCCCCCAGCGACCCAGTGGAACCTCCGCTCCGTGCCCCTTCTGCTCAGAACACTTTATTCCGCGTCGCGACACACACACACACACACACACACGCACACGCACACGCACACGCACACACACACACACACACACACACACACACACACACACACACACACACACACACACACACACACACACACACACACACACACACACACACACACACATGGGATTTGGGCCCGCTGCTGGCCCCGAGGGGCGATGTGTTGCCCCCTTCTCCCCCTCCTCCTCCCCCACCTCCTTTCCCCCTTCCTTCTGTGCAAGAGCTATAGCACACGTGGCACTTGTTTGTCCAACACTATGTGTGAAGCCTAGCATTGAGATACACGCGAACGGACCTCGCGAGGCGTGATCTCAAGAAAACACGCTCCAGGGGGCGCCCACGCCACCGGAGAGCTTACACCATAGTCCATGGTTTGTTCTGGCGCAGCCGCTAAGAAGACACGCGGCGGGCCACCGACGAGCTCAGTTGTCTAGGGTATCCTTGGGCGCGGCGGGTCGAAAAAACGCCGCTGTCATCCCTGCCAGACAGGGGGGGAAGAGGACGGCCAGTGACGCCACTTCAATAATATCAACTCGAAACAAGAGTTTCTCGGAGCGTGGTCCGATGCACAGGACCTTTGGGATCTCTGGGGCGTGGGCTCTGCGAGCCTCGAAACCTATCTCACTCGGATGCACGCAAGCGGGCGCTGTCGCCAAACAGCTCAAGGGCCCTCCGAAGCCCAGACGGCAGCGGAGGCAGCGGGTGAGAGGGGGCGAACGGGAGCAGGCACGGGCAACCAGTGCACATGAGACGTTAGAGAGGGGATTGGGGCAATGATAAACGTGAGCGATATTACACTCACTATCTTTACTGTTGCCCAAAATCTCCCGAACAGACGTACGAATTAAACTGCTTCCGAAGCTCGGATTCACACGATAGCTTACGCACCAAACGTACGGGCAGGCTTTCGCGCGGCGGCGAAACACGGAAAACGTCAATATGGAAATGAAACGTGACATCTCAGACGTGTCACCTAGCCTTATGAAACAGAAAATGAAACCGTTCACTCACGAGGGTAATCCGCTATCCGTCCGGAGACTCAGTTGATTCTTCGCCAGAATCTCTCGTAACTGACTCGGAGGTTTTACCCTGGTCAAATGATCCGCAACTTGCTTATCGGTTGGCACCCAAAACACCGTAGACTTCGGATTCTCGTCATCAAACTATTCGGCAACATGTGCTACCGCAGCAATGTCTATACTCAAACGCCGTTCCAGCGTCGTAGATGGGGTCCCCTCTAGTTAGAATGTCATACAAAGACTTGCAGTCCGTTGCCACCTTAATCGGCATGAAGAAACTCGGGAGCTTACCTGAACTTCCCGGCTTGAAGTCTCGAAACAAAACCTCGGCAAACAAATGACGTAGGTAATAAGCTGTGTCCACACCAACATCCATTGCCATTGCTTCGGCGGCCAAAGTACTTCGAACTACTCGACGAATACGATGTGAACGCCAATCAAGGAGAGTAGCCGCTCCACCCTTGGAAGTCAAACTATCTTGATCTGACAAGAAAACCATGAAACCGGCTTGGCTTTGATTCTCCTGAGC